CGGCGATGGAAGAGAAGTTGGAATGCAGATTATCCTAAACACACCGGATTGCAGACCCTCGCAGTGAAAAAATTAAACCGAGCACCAATGGGTCTGATACAGGCAGGCATGAGAGCAGTGTGACGGTAAGAGGAGCTGCGGTGAAAGTCCACCTCTCATGTCCACAGCACGTATTTGAGTTAAGTGAGACGCCATATTTCAACAGGTTATTTATCTCTCTCTCTCTCTCTGTCTCTCTCTGTCTTTCCATAGACTGTATAAAAGCAGTGGACGTAGCCTGTGGGTCTGAAAAGAGCAGGGGGTGACTAAACTGGTTGCAAAAGTAGGTCAGATTGTATAGCAGTCTATGAGAAAATGTAAACAAGTTTCCTAATGAGTTTATGGTTTCATTCGCTAGTTTCAAGTCTTGTTCACTACAGCTTGATGTTCATTTAGTAAAATATGGTTCTATTTAGCGTAAAATAGATAATAAAGCAGGGTATGCTTTAGGATGTGGCTACCTTGTGAGTGACAATTTGCAACTTGTCAGTAAGGATAGAGGCGCAAAGATTTGAATTAATTTAAATGAATTAGCTTAATTTAATTTAAATAGCTATGAACTTGTTTTTGGGTGTTGTCCATGTTTGTGTCTTAGAATTTTGACCCTTTCACAGTGTGTTTTGAGTTCATGAAAGTTTTGGTCGCCTAGAAACGTCTTGTTCAACATTTGGTTGTACTAACAACATTAGGTGGTAAATTTGCTACGCTAACCTGGGTTAACCATAGACTCCTCGCTCCTCCCCAGCCCCACCCTCTCTTCCAAATATGGTCACTTCTGGATTTAAAAAAACAAAATGTCCAAAATGCCAAACTTGAGGCTTCAAAACAGTAATCAATAAACCAGTGGGTGATGTCATGGTGGCTACATCCACTTCTTTTATACAGTCTATGTCTCTTTCTTCCTCTCATCTCTCCAGAACATATTGTGCATATTGTGTTGCCTCTGTGGTATTCCCGTGTGTTTGCCAGCTCAGCATCACCGATGGAATTCATCACTTGTGGTTCGGCACGGCCAGGATTACAGCAGCATTCCCTGCAGCTCAGTCACGACATAAATTCAGCTCGTCCAAGTGGATATCTGGGCCTGTTGGACTGTGTGTGTGTGTTAGTGTGTTTCTTGGCTGAGGATCTAGACAGGATGAGCATAATACTAAGCCTTTAGGAATCAGGAAGATAGTTCCTGGGATGCCTGGAATTCCTTCCGGAAACCTTGCTGTCTGACATAGAGGGTGAATTAGAGTCCAGTGTGTGTGCTTGAGACAGAGAGAGTGAAAGTGAGAGTTACAGCAACTATCTCCCCCTCTCTCTCTTCCTTTTGAGGCCAGAGCCGGCTGTATCTACTCACGAGACTAGAATTATGGGACAGTTATTCGGACAAGCCTATTATGGTATGAGGACATAACACATCTCACTCCCACACACCCAAACACACACAAAAACACGCTCATAGACAGAGACAGTTACACCATCACAGGTGATAGGAATCAGGCTGTTCCAGTGTTATCAGACCAGAATGTGATGATGCTGTGGATTCCTCAGATACCTAAGTGGTCAGGTTTATTCCTGACTTTAGATGACTGTTGCAGACAATTGCCTAAGAGCAGTTCGAAGTGCAATAAAACAAAATCTATGATTCGCCATTACGCTCATGAAGTCATGAAGAGGAATAAAGAAACCTGTTCACAGATGAAAGGAATGCAGAGGAAAAGTGAAGAGAGGGACAGAGGCTTACAGTCACAGCCTTTCTTTGTCTCCGTTACCAATTTGTCAGCCTGTTTACAGTGTGTTGACATCAGAGACACACACGTGCGTACGCAGGAATGTAAGGCCAAACTACAAAACCATGCCTTAAAGGATGATTCCAGTTTTTTGTCACATTTCATCTAATATTAGGTGTGGTATGCTTGTAATGAGGATGGGTAATGAGTACTGATAAAGATTATATTAATCCCGGTTGATAAAAACGTTCTATTTTCATAGCTTGTTTCAATCCAGTATGATGACATTTTACAAACCAAAGTAATTGTTGAGATCTGTGAAACACAACAATATTACTACAGCAGTCAGAT